CCACCACGGATTCGCAGGGCTCGCTACCTCGGCTGCGCTGTGATTGGCTCCTTCGGTCTACGTCATCGTCAGCTACGGCAACTCATCGCACTCCTTCCAGCGCCTGGAGTACACATCCGGCGCGCCCAATGCCCCATCGGGCTTCTACATCGGCACAGACACGTCCTCAGGCCTGGACACGCGCATCCCATACTACGATGTGCTGGACGGCAAGGAGTGGAAGGACGTCGACTTTCAGGACACCACCGTGGACACCGTGGTGGTGGACGTGGCCGGCGGCCTGTGCAATCGTACGCTTGGCCGAAGCGTGCTTGAGTTCCGCTACGACAACTGCCCGACGTGGGTGCGCACGGAGCAGACGTCCAGCCGCACCTCCACATGGACGCTGCCTGCCCAGATCATCACCGTGCGGCTTGCGCGTGTTGTGCGGTCGGGCGAGGTGCGGGAGGAAATCACGCGCTACTTCAGCTCCACGCTGGGCACCTCACGCTCGCAGTATGCGGACCTGCGCAACGCGGAAGACAGCGAGGATGACGAGACAACCGTTCGCTTTGAGTACCATCCACAGCCGACGCTGAGCGTGTCCTTCACACCAACTGTGGCGCACTCTTGCTCGTACTCTGACGACACTGATTTCATCGTCATGCAGCAACGCACTGAGACGATCGCCACCGTCAAGGCCATTGAGGAGTTTGGCTCCGGTGTCGCCTCGTGCGACATTGTTGAGGGCAGCGTGACGGTGCAGAACCTGCTTGGCGAGTCCCCAACAACCGCCAACCAGGCCGTCGGCGTGACAGCGACGCAGCGGGAGCTGCTCCAGGTGTGCTACAACGAGTGCGAGCTCGATCTAGACCTGGACGAGGTGGTCACGGCCGCGGGCACAGAGCAGAGCAACGCGCATGCCACGCTGCGACTGCTGACTGGCGGTCCGGAGCTGAACTCCGAGGCCGTTGACCCGGAACACCCATACACGAAACAGTTTCGTGTGAGCATGCATGTGCTGCCGTACGACCCGGTCATCCTGTACAAAAAGGTGGTGGTGACTGGACAGCAAGCGCGCGGTGCATCTGGCTCGGTTCCCTTCCCGCGCTACAAGCCGCTGCTGGTGGTGCAGGACCCGCCGGGCGGTCTGTCCACGGCCTCGTACTCCAGCATGTTTGCCAACTTCCGCTTCCACAGCAAGACATATGAGGCGTTTGGTGGATTTCAGCTTGGTGTTGACGTTGCGCCATACAAAACGGAAGCCGAGCTTGACCTGTGCACGGGTGCCATCGCCGCTTACAACTGCATCAACCTCGTGAGCGTCAAGTCGACGCCGTACACCTTTCAAACGGAGACGACCAACCTGTTTGGCGGACAATCGCCCGACGACAACTTCAACCGGGAGCAGGTGTGGTCGTTTACAATTGACGTGACGACGAGCGACGACCCGATGCTTGCCGGTGAGAAGTCAGACATGTTCCTCGTGCCGGCACTCAACGTCGTCTTCCTGGATACGGATGTAATCTCGTTCAATACCACGACGTGCAGCGTGAACCGCTCTCTGACCACGACGTGGTCGCTGGACCCGGAGGCCAACGAACAGGTCATGACATGGCTGTCTGTGTTTGAGATTGAAAGCAAGGAGCTACCGGAGCTTGAGGAGAGGCTCGAAGCGACAATTGCATCGATTGCGGAGGCGGAGGCCTCGGATGATGACGACGGTGACAACCTCGCCGATCTGCAGCAGCTGAAGGACGAGCTAGAGTTGGCGATCAGTGCGTGGAACGACAACCTGCAGCGGAACCGCAACGTGCGCAACAGCGCTGCCAGTGGCACGCTGGAGAAGGTGCAGTCGCTGTGGACGGCGGGCAAGTACCTGACCAACGAAAACGCGAACCCGATCCAGGGCAAGGTGAACAGGAGCATTGCGTTCGCACCCAACGACAACATCGACAACGCCAAGAACCTGGATGGCACAGACACGACTGGCGAAGATCAGGCCACGTTGCGAGAGATTAGCGCCATCAAGTTTGCTGGTGGGGGGTCCCTCTACTCCTTCTCCTTTGACTACAGCAACCACAAGAGCGTTGTGTCATCGTCCAAGAGCATGAGCAGCTTTGAGGGCGGTGGCACCGTGAGCTTTGACATTTCATCCAGCACTGGCGGGGCTGATTTCTCCGTCACGGCGTTGGGGCTGGCGGAGGTGGAGACGAGCAGGGAAACGGAGGAAGGCTATGCGAAGGAGAGCAGCGCTGGGTTTGAACTTGGTGACGCTGATCCACTGGATGTGTTCGATGTTGAGGTGTACGTGCACCCTGACTTTGGCACGCTGGTGTTTCACACCACCTCTGGCCAGTCATCCTGCCCGCCCGAGAACAACACCATTGCCTTGGAGAACCCACGGATCAGCATTCTCAAGCAACCTGCTGCACCTGTCTTACCCAATGAGCCGGCTGTGTTCGAGCTCTTGCTCACCAATGACGGTCCTGTCGCCACTGACTTTAACGTGGGTGTCGTATGTATATATATGTGTGTGACCGACTTGAACGTGGGTGTTGTGCGTATGGTGTGTGTGTGTGCGTCGATACTTCTGCTTGTGTTGAGTTGGATCCCTACGTGCGCTTGTATGTGCTGCTGCTTCACCTTTGTGTGGTTAACTTTCTGCTCACCTCAGTATGCGCGTTCTTGTTTGTGGCGATGTTGATGTATCGTTGCACATGGACAGCTCTTCACCTTGAACGGTGCGAACCAGGACGGCCTGACGATCATGGTGGATGGCCATCCGCTGACACACCCCATCGACTTTGAGGGCTTTGCAGTTGGCGCGCGCCACGTGACAATCTCACTTCTTCGTGGACCAAGTCTCTATTCATATGATCCCGTTGCTGTTGGCTGGCGATCCCTGTGCGAGGCAGACAGGCACCCCGACAACGGCTACACAACCGATGAAGTGACCACTGTCCAATATGTGTACCTGGAGGCCGAGTTCCTGCAGCCATGCAGTCCTGTTGAGCTGGTGGGCTCGATTGGCGAGACGGAGACGTTTGAGGTGAACCAAGCTGTGGACGAGCAAACCTCCCACCCTGGCGAGCTGCGCATCGTTGCGTTCAACTCGGACTTTGCAAACCGCAAGTGGACAGAAGACGACAGGCTTGAGGGCGTGTACGTCGAGTACAAGCCCGCCGCCTCCTCCGTGTGGCTGTTGGCGCGTGACATTGACGGCAATACGCTGGACCTGCGACTGATGGAGAATGAGTACGGTTACGTGACCATCTACTGGGACGTGTCCGGCATCACGGACGGCGACTACGAGCTGCGCATTCGCGCGCAGTGCACGGCGTCGATCAACGAGGTGCCGGATGGCATTGACGAGCAGTACTCTTCGACAGCAACGGGCGTGATTGACCGGTCGGCGCCACAGGTCCTGGGGTACCCGGAGCCAGCGGACGGGGAGTACTCACCCGGGGACGAGATTGCGTTTGAGTTTGACGAGGACGTGCAGTGCGCAAAGCCGTTCTGGTTTGAGGTGCAGATGACCATTGACGGGCTGGACGAAGTGTTTGCGAACGACGACATGGTGATGGTGTGCGAGGGCCGCCGCATCACTATGTCCCTGGTGCGCGGGTTCGCGTGGGATGACGTGAGCGGCCGCTCGGCGCGCGTGACTCTGAACAGCGTCCAGGACCCGTACGGCAACGTGGCGTCACAGGAGTTTGTGCTCGAGTTCCAGTTTGCGCTTGTGGCTGCGGAGGCGCTGACGACACAGCTGACGGGCATCGAGCTACCGCTGCCATTTGAAGACGCGTTTTTCAACACGAAATCGCCCGAGTACCAGAACGTGACGCGCGCATTGAGGCAGACATTGCCAACGCCACGGGCATTGTCGTGACACGTGTGCGTGTTGCGTCGCTGGCGCCCACGGACCTGTTT